AGGAATGAACTTGGCCTGTGTAAGGAACAGCAAGAAGGCCTGTGTCTGAAGCATAGTGGGCAGGAGGGATTATAGGAAGAGGTGATATCTGGGAGATAGGCAGCGTCTTGTAAGGTGCAGTAAAATGAATGGATTTTATTCTGAATGTGATGTGAAGGCACTGGGGGGTTCTAAACAGGAGAGTGTTTGATTTCATTTAAATTTGTAAAAGGGTGCCCTACCTGTAGCTTGAAGAATATATTGTATTGGGGCGAGAGAAGGAAGCAAAGAGATTGGTCAGGAAGCTATTGCCAGGGATTGATGCTAGAGGTGATGGTGAGTTGGATTAAGGTGAGAGGGACAGAGTTGGGGAGAAGTGATTAGGTTCAGGATAGATTTTGGAGATTGTGCTAAAATAGTTTGCCTCTGGATTGGATGTGGGAGAGGGAAAGATGCATCAAGGTTTGGGTGAGAGAAAATGGATAGATGGTTTCTGGGATGGAGAAGGTTGGAGAGGAGCAGTTTGTTGGTCAGGAAAGGGTTGATGAGGATCAAGAGTATAATTTTTGATCTCAGGGGACATCTAGCTCAATTGGCATAACAGTTTATAAAGAATATGCTTTACATCCTACTTTGGTGAGTAACGTCTGGGGTCTTAAAGCTTGTGAGCAGCCATCTAAGATACTTCACTGGTCCCGTCCCATCTGGAGCAAGGGAGAAGAAAGAAAACCAAAGACAGAAGGGAAAGATTAGTCCAAAGTACTAATGGACCACAGCTACCACAGCCTCCACCAGACTGAGTCCTGTACAACTAGATGGTGTCTGGCTACCACTACTGACTGCTCTGACAGGGATCACAACAGAAGGTCCTGGACAGAGCTGGAGAAAAATGTAGAACAAAATTCTGACTCACAAAAAAAGACCAGACTTACTGATCTGACAGAGACTGGAGAAACCCCAAGAGTATGGCCCCTGGACACCCTTTTAGCTCAGTAGTGAAGTCACTTCTGAGGTTCACCCTTCAGCCAAAGATTAGACAGGCCTATAAAACAAACAATAACACATGTAGTTCAATCATGTATATGAGACTAAACGGGCACACCAGCCCAGGGGCAAGGACAAGAAGGCAGGAGGGGACAGGAAAGCTGGACGAATGGAAATGGGAGACCCAAGGTCGAGAAGGGTAGAGTGTTGACATGTCACAGGGTTGGCAACCAAAGTCACAAAGCAATATGTGTATTAATTGTTTAATGAGAAACTTACTTGCTCTGTAAACCTTAATCTAAAGCACAATAAAAATATTGAACTTCAAGAGAATTAAAAAAAAAAAAACTGAAAAAATAAATATTTGTAGTTTTTAAAAAAAGGCGTACTTTTTGACATGGTTAGTTATGGACGTAGACACACAAGTGCAGATGTCCAGTGGCCTGCGGCATGTATACATTTGGAGCTCAGAGGAGAGATCGAGGCTGGAGATTTGTCATCCTAGAGATGGTATTGAAAGCTGAAGAGCTGAGCAAATTCATCTAATGCAAGTATAAAAACAAACAAACAAAGAAAAAAACCATTGCCCTCAAATTGGTTCCGAGTATAGGTAGAGAATATGAAGAGAGTATAGATAGAGAAGAAAAGAGAGGGACCAAGAGTTGAAGTGGCTATTGTACTTACTTTTGGATTCCTTTGTGTGTGTATGAATACTTAGATTTCTGTCTATATAACAGGAAAAACAACAACAATGCTAATAGTCAACTCTTATGTACTACTTATTATGTACCAAGCATTGCTCCAAATACTTTACATGTATTAACTAGTTTAATCTTCATACAACCCTATGAGGTAAGCGCTATCGTGCCCATTTTATAGCTGGGGATACCAAGGTACAGAGAGGTTAAATTCATTTACTCAAAGTTACGCAACTTGCAGGTAGTAGAGCCAGGCTCAAAAGCAGGCAGTCTCAGCTTCAGAATCCATGTTCTCTTTCATATTCTATATTTATATACACAAAGGTTAAAAAGCACCAAGGACAAATCTGATCAATATAATTAACAATTTTTGTGAATGACAATAATTTCCAAGCTAATTGTTCAAGAAAATATTTTGCTAGAGTGTGTACTAAATGAGAATATGTTGATACTTCTACAACTCTTTAACTGTAATACATTTTACATTCAAAACTAAACTCAGCAACTGCTTAAATATGCTAACCTTTGCTAATGGTAAAAAGCACAGACTCTGAAGTCAGCCCACCTGGTCTCAAATCCAGCTCTGTCGTTTCCTGGCTATGCTGGGCATGCGACTTGACCCCTTCTGCCTCAGTTCTTTCATCTAAAATGGGGATGATAATAGTACCTTTCTCACAAGGTTGACACATAGGTTTCTCATAAGGTTGACACAATACCTGCAACAATGGACTCAAACATACCAACACTTGTAAAGATGGCACAGGACTGGGCGGTGTTTTGTTTTGTTATATATAAAGTCACCGTGAGTTGGAGCTGACTTGACAGCAACTAACAACAACAAATGTAAGATTGTGATGCCCTTAAGACATTGTCTGGCACATAGTGCTATATATGTGTCTGTAAATAAATGAAATATATCTAACATGTATATAATTTTGTGTACCGGAGATGGGGCTTAAGAAAAACCAACTCTTCTACTCTGTGCGGGTTAATTATTGATATTCAAAAGTGTTTTTAACCCTATTTGCCCAGTTTACACTATCTCAGGAACTAGGTGGGACTCAGGAGGTAGAAACAGGGAAGTGGTAAGAAGGAAATGAGAGACAGAATTCTAGGATCAATACTGCTAAGTCATAAAATGGGAAAGTCAACAACTCTATGTTAACCATGAGAAAGGCACCAAATATTTGGACATAAGGCCTGATAAAGAGAGAAAAGATTGATGGTACATATTAGGAATTGAAATGGGTTGGAGTAGGGTATGAAGGGGTGGGGTGGAAAAAGGTATAGGAAGTTTCAAGATAATTAGGGAAAGTACAAATTATTATTACCAATTTAAGATGTCAAATTTGTTCATGGAGGCCTGATGGCACAGTAGTTAAGAGCTTGGCTGCTAACCAAAAGGTCAGCAATTCAAATCCACCAGCTGCTCCTTGGAAACCCTATGGGGCCCATATATTGCCTTTAGCTTTATTGTTTTATTTTAGTGGACCTGGGTATCTTGGGAGATTTATTTAATGTCTGTGTTTCAGTTGCCTCATCTGTAAAATGCACTTAATAGTACTACCTTCCTTACAGAATTATTGGGATTATCAACTGAGTTCATATGTTCAAGTGCATAGAACAGTGCCTGACACAGAGCAGGCAGAATACATGTTCGCTCTTCTTACGACAAATGTGTTCAGAGGGTTACTTAATGCTCTAGTCCTCATGAAAGCCTATGT